TACATCTTCACCCACTTACAGTAAACACGTTGTTTGGTCTTAGATTAAATGTTACATCTTCACCCCTTACGGTAAACAGGTTGTTTGGTCTTAGATTAAATGATACATCTTCACCAACTTACAGTAAACACGTTGTTTGGTCTTAGATTAAATGATACATCTTCACCCACTTACAGTAAACACGTTGTTTGGTATTAGATTAAATGATACATCTTCACCCACTTACAGTAAACACGTTGTTTGGTCTTAGATTAAATGATACATCTTCACCCACTTACAGTAAACACGTTGTTTGGTCTTAGATTAAATGTTACATCTTCACCCACTTACAGTAAACAGGTTGTTTGGTATTAGATTAAATGTTACATCTTCACCCACTTACAGTAAACACGTTGTTTGGTCTTAGATTAAATGATACATCTTCAGCCACTTACCGTAAACACGTTGTTTGGTCTTATATTAAATGTTACATCTTCACCCACTTACGGTAAACACGTTGTTTGGTCTTAGATTAAATGATACATCTTCACCTACTTCCGGTAAACACGTTGTTTGGTCTTAGATTAAATGATACATCTTCACCTACTTCCGGTAAACACGTTGTTTGGTCTTAGATTAAATGATACATCTTCACCTACTTCCGGTAAACACGTTGTTTGGTCTTAGATTAAATGATACATCTTCACCCACTTCTGGACTCTCCAACCACCATTACTACATATGATGTAGATGTATGATAACAAGAGTGTGATAGTCAACATATTTTACTCAGGTGTATATTGCTTCATCTCCATACGACCTTCTTTGTTTTGCTCCTATTGATGTGTATTGGTTAATCCAGATCAAATAATAATAATACACGTGGTTTATACACGTGTTCACCTAAACTCAGTAACAGTTGAACTCGTTATTGATGGGTTAGTTTCTGAGATAACTCTATTAGTTTCGAAACTCTTACTTGAATTCTCTCTGTATAGTTGTCCAGTAAAAGAACTCCTGATCCTGCCACCTTCTTCGTTTCCACCATTGTCTTCAAGCCAGCTAATAAACTCATATGTTTGGACATGTCCGTTGCTAGAACCTGTACAGTAAATAGTTTTATTTCACTATATTAAAGTTCCTTGCATTAATCTTGTTTATTTGATATTCTACCGAGTTTTACCTTTACAATAGCATGTTTTTATTTTCATCTTAAGTTAATCTAACGTGTCTTACCTTTACACTAGCATGTTTTTATTTTCATCTTAAGTTAATCTAACGTGTCTTACCTTTACACTAGCATGTTTTTATTTCATCTTAAGTTAATCTAACGTTTCTTACCTTTTCACTAGCATATTTTATTTTCATCTTAAGTTAATCTAACGTGTCTTACCTTTTCCCTAGCGTGTTTTTATTTTCATCTTAAGTTAATCTAACGTGTCTTACTTTTTACTTGATCTATGCATATAATAATCCCACAGCTATACATGGAACGTATAGCGACACTAACACTAACAAAGATACTAATACTAACACTAATGTTAACACTAATAATAGCAATAACACTAATACTAACACCAACACTAATGTTAACACTAATACTAACAATAACACTAATACTGACACTAACACTGTTACAGTGATAACAAGTGAGTTTAACCACGTGCTCTCAACTACTTTGAAACAAATCACCATCTCAATGGAGTCTCACAACTCACCATGTCGATGGAAACACACAATTCACCATTACAATGGAAACACACAGCTCACCATGTCAATGGAAACACACAGCTCACCATGTCAATGGAAACACACAACTCACCATGTCGATGGAAACACACAATTCACCATGTCAATGGAAACACACAGCTCACCATGTCAATGGAAACACAAACTCACCATGTCAATGGAAACACACAACTCACCATGTCAATGGAAACATACAACTCACCATGTCAATGGAAACACACACAACTCACCATGTCAATGGAAACACACAACTCACCATGTCAATGGAAACACACAACTCATCATGTCAATGGAGTCACACAACTCACCATGTCAATGGAAACACACAACTCACCATGTCAATGGAAACACACAACTCACCATGTCAATGGAGTCACACAACTCACCATGTCAATGGAAACACACAATTCCCCATGTCAATGGAGTCACACAACTCACCATGTCAATGGAAACACACAACTCACCATGTCAATGGAAACACACAACTCACCATTACAGTGGAAACACACAACTCACTATGTCAATGGAAACACACAACTCACCATGTCAATAGAAACACACAACTCACCATGTCAATGGAAACACACAGCTCGCCATGTAAATGGAAACACACAACTCACCATTACAATGGAAACACACAACTCACCATGTCAATGGAAACACACAACTCACCATGTCAATGGAAACACACACAACTCACCATGTCAATGGAAACACACAACTCACCATGTAAATGGAAACACACAACTCACCATGTCAATGGAGTCACACAACTCACCATGTCAATAGAAACACACAACTCACCATGTCAATGGAAATCTTTCGAAGAGTTTGTCGTTGTTTGTTACTGAAGTTCACAAAAATGTTGCAACTTTCATCCTGAAGAATTTTAAAAGCCACAGCTAAAGAGTGGTTTTCAAGAACGGACTCGTCATTGTACATAATGGCCAGCTCAGAACCTACAAACAAGAACAGACTCGTCATTGTACATAATGAACAGTTCAGAACCTACAAACAAGAACAGACTCGTCATTGTATATAATGGACGGTTCAGAACCTACAAACAAGAACAGACTCGTCATTGTACATAATGTATAATTTAGAATCTACAAACAAGAACAGACTCGTCATTGTACATAATGAACAGTTCAGAACCTACAAACAAGAACAGACTCTTCATTGTACATAATAAACAGTTCCGAATCTACAAACAAGAACAGGCTCGTCATTGTATATAATGGACAGTTCAGAACCTACAGGCAAGAACAGACTCATCATTGTACATAATGGCCAGTTCAGAACCTACAAACAAGAAACAGGCGCGTCATTGTACATAATGAACAGTTCAGAACCTACAAGCAAGAAACAGGCTCATCATTGTACATAATGGCCAGCTCTGAACCTATAGACAAGAAACAGGCTCGTCATTGTACATAATGGCCAGTTCAGAACCTACAAACAAGAAACAGACTCATCATTATACATAATAAACAGTTCAGAATCTACAAACAAGAACAGACTCGTCATTGTATATAATGGCCAGTTCAGAACCAACAAACAAGCAGTGTTGAATAAGAAATATAATGTTGTGTTATTATTTCTAACTTGAAACATGACTTGTAAGTGAGTTAAATAAAAATCAATGATAATTAAAATCCTCGTGCTTATTCTGATTTAAGCCATAACACTTGTTGTACATTAGAATTTATATATCTATAAGTATAGCGCATATACTACTAATATGTCTGTCGTGTCCCGGTCGGTTTGATGAGCCTTGGTATTGAGTGAGAGGCATCGTCAACATAAGTATAGCAGATGTAGTGTGGTAGACATATTATAATATATTCTATTTTGCATTCATGGATAGCACGTTGCTGAAGAGGGACAGATGGTTTCTGGCACTTTTGTTCCAAAATTAGAAAGAATCCTAACACAAATTTGGAACTCTGTGGGGGAACCGAACGTTTTTCAGGTGTTGTACTACAAGTTTCGAAACCACTTTTTGGGTTTATACTGTCTAAAATCCTTTGCAGAGGTGTCCAGATATACTGGTTAGGGCAGTGTACAATAAAAAAAATGTTGTCTCAGTAAACAATTTATGGACTCTTTTGGAACATACGATGATAAGTCATGTTTTGAAATATAAACTACAAACTGTAACCTAATATGTTAGAAATAATTTATTTTTAAGGTCATTAACTAAAAAATAAAGGTGAAAACAAAATATGTTTTAATAAGGAATACTTTAGCAAAAATTACGTATTGGACTTTTTTTTATAAATGTAATTACACAGTTTAAGAATTTCCAAAACAAAAACAACTTAAAGTAGATATTTTAAAGTCAGAAACTTAATACTCACTAGAGTTCACTAAGTATTGGTTTGTAACGCCCGGATGATCAACGTCATGAATGGTTGCTGCAAATAAGGCAGCAAGTGTTTCCAGGTCTGTGAATACTGCCTGTAATGTGTAATGAAAACAACAGTGTGAGGGCAATGAACATTAAACAATGTGTCAAAGATCACACGTATCAGTAAGTTTCCAAATATTAAATTAATCTTTAATTCACGCTTCGCTTTATCATCTGACAAGTTTTCTAACTAGGCCTAAATGAGATGAAAAATTATCATTCAAGGACAAGAAAGATAGATACTACAAAAATACGTAAGCTAACGGTAAAAACTGACTAAAATTATGGTTGAGTAAATATCAAAATCCATTAGAGGAAACAGATATTAATAGACAAGATACGTGTTCGTATGAGGCTCAGTAATATGTAACATTTCCTATATATTCTCATGTGATACCCTAATTTTCTGCGTGAAGTGTAGCAATATAGATGTCTAATACAAAATCATGGAAAATACACTACATTTCCTGAAAACGTAAACGAAAGAAACTTTCTTAATTACTGAGGGTTAATCGCACTTTAAAAGAACAATGCTCAAGGGTTCACGCTACCATTAGGCCTACTTCCTACATTGTCGATCGTACTTAAGTTATTGGTCATAGTTTCGAGTTATAGTTAGGCCTACTTCCTACATTGTCGATCGTACTTAAGTTATTGGTCATAGTTTCGAGTTATAGTTAGGCCTTCTTCCTACATGGTCGATCCTACTTAATTTATTGGTCATAGTTTCGAGTTATAGTTAGGCCTACTTCCTACATCGTCGATCGTTCTTAAGTTATTGGTCATAGTTTCGAGTTATAGTTAGGCCTACTTTCTACATGGTCGATCCTACTTAATTTATTGCTCACAGTTTTGAGTTATAGTTAGACACTTTCTATTGTAACAAGCTTCTACATCAGACTATGATGTCAGTCTTAGATACAGTTTCAACTTTACGTAGACATCGACTTCTAAGACCATGGTTAAGCAAAAGCACATTAGAGGTACGTTGGAAGACTTGATAAGTATGTAGTTAAATTGATTTGCTGAGATTATAGTTACTTCAGTCATCTTTTTCATGACAACAGCCATGTTTTTGAGCCGTGACTGGAAAAGCCTGTGATCTTTTGGCATGTGAATTTTCGGCAACTTCAAATATTTGTTTGTTAGCCTATTAGAAATAACAGGAGATATATTCAGCCTCATTATGGCTTTTTGGATCAGAGGGTTCTCTTTCGTAACCATAACCTTCATATTCCAGATGAAGGCTTAGCTTTGGAATGGTTTAAGAGGAGGGATCGAAACCCATTGTTATCCTAAACGCTTTACTCTATGAGGTTTACCCCACCCCCTTCGAGACAATTTTGAAGCCTTTCTCACAGTCCTTGGGCTTTATTCAGATCGTTAAACAACGAGACTTAACGATTTCCTTATACAAGAATAGATCCGCAAAAAAACATGTCCATGTGTGACAATACTCTTGTCGGATACTCGTATACACAGCACAACATACTGACCGTTCTAATAAAGCAGATTAACCTCCGTATGCTAATAAAAAAAGTCAATAACATAATAAATCTTACATTAAGAGCAGGAGAAAGAAGGAGGACATATAATGACTGCGTGACATCAGCAGCATGGATACTGTTGTGGTAAGGAATCTTGAGGTAATGATCTTCTAATGTCATAAGGAAATTTACAGCTGTCGTACAGGATATGTTGAATGTCTTGAGAATCTCTCTGTCCTAGAACAGTAGTTAAGTAATACATGATTATCGTAAACACAACTACCCCACCTCTGTTCTAGAACAGTAGTTAAGTAATACATGATTATCGTAGACACAACTACCCCACCTCTGTTCTAGAACAGTAATTAAGTAATACATGATTATTGTAAACACAACTACCCCACCTCTGTTCTATAACAGTAGTTAAGTAATACATGATTATCGTAAACACAACTACCCCACCTCTGTTCTATAACAGTAGTTAAGTAATACATGATTATCGTAAACACAACTACCCCACCTCTGTTCTATAACAGTAGTTAAGTAATACAGGAGTACCCTGAACACACCTGAAAACACTTTATATAAATATTATAGTACCAACAAATTTGAGTATACTTACTCTCCATATTGTATAAGTGACCGCTGTGAGGGGTCTCATACTGGATAACTCCGCTATTCGGAAGATGTCAACACCCCATTTATCCACATGATCCAGCTCCTGTTATAAGACCAAACGAAACACCAAAATTAGTAGAAATAACACAAATCCAAAACATTTCTTTAAGAAAAACGTTTTTAGCATTGACCACTAGGAGCAGAAACATTTTAACCAATAAGATATATTAATTGACCAGCACATTATATATAAACGACCATCGGAGAATAATGTTAGTGGTGTAACGTAAAGGCATGAGACAATGGATAACACAAAACGTAACCAAAGTACCAGTTTACTGGTACAGATGCATGATGGTAACTCGTGAAAGTATTAAAAGAAGTAAAATTATTTAACACTAATTAATTAAAAACATACCAGTATGTAATCATAAATCATTAAACAATTAACAAAACATACAAAAATCCGACTAGTTTCAACTGGCCATTCTGTGGTCCTCAAGAGACGGAGCAAAATTGTTCTCAGCGTTTATAATGGTCCAGAGGGTTCAAAGTTCACTAACAGCAGTAGAGTGCAAAGCTTAATTTAAAAACGACTTTCAAATAGGGTTGAGTTTAAATCGTATTTCATTAACTTCTGTAGTTGTAAATGTTTCTCCAGGTTTTCGTGTTCGCGGAAGAAGTGTGGGTTCCATAATGAGTTTTTATTGATCGTAATTAATTTTTAGTTCGGTTGTGTGAACTTAATGCTGAACCTAATTTTTCAACTTCCTAGCGACGACAGTGCTCATCATGTTTCTTTACTCGGTTTGAAAGAGATCATTTTGTTTGACCAGTACAAGTACGAATACAAGACTAAGGAATAGAATAAATACCCTGTTTGTGAGCTTTTTTCTTATCTTCCTTTTGTTAAAGTTGTGTCAAATCTTGGCCACTGGCTTACAACTGGTTTGATTATATTCCGTTTTCAAACAGCTCCTGTTTTGTTTGATATCAAAGGGTGGGGGTTTCATTAGATATGGACCATCTACTAATCTATCTGCAATTATTTGATTCACTTTGTCACTAAGCCTTTTACTTTTATTGAACAAATTATATTCGGTTTTAAATCCTCAGGAAAGAGGACGTAGTTCAATTCATCATGAATGCCCTTTTCAAATGTCCAACATACACAAAGTGAGCTTTACATACGTCGATCTTCTGAGAATAAGGGTGTAGGTTTATCGTGTGAAAATAAGTGTATACGTTCTGGTTTCTTATAGAGTTCTGTGCATAACTTACCATCTGTTCAACATCGTGTAACTAAAACATCTAATAACGGTATCTGGTCAACATCGTGTAACTTAAACATCCAATAACGGAAACTGGTCAACATCGTGTAACTTAAACATCTAATAACGGTATCTGGTCAACATCGTGTAACTTAAACATCTAATAACGGTATCTAGTCAACATAGTATAACTAAAACATCTAATAACGGTATCTGGTCAACATCGTGTAACTTAAACATCTAATAACGGTATCTGGTCAACATCGTGTAACTTAAACATCTAATAACGGTATCTGGTCAACATCGTGTAACTTAAACATCTAATAACGGTATCTGGTCAACATCGTGTAACTTAAACATCTAATAACGGTATCTGGTCAACATCGTGTAACTTTTACGTGATGTTGACCAGATACCGTTATTAGTTATTCTAGTTACACCATGTTCACCAAATACTGTTATTAGACGTTTTAGTTATACTGTGTTGACCAGTTTCCGTTATTGCATGTTTTAATTACGTGATGTTGACCAGATACCATTATTAGTTATTTTAGTTACACTATGTTCTCCAGATACCGTTATTACACGTTTTAGTTATATTATGTTGACTAGATACCGTTATTAGATGTTTAAGTTACACGATGTTGACCAGATACCGTTATTAGATGTTTTTAAAACATGCAATAACGGTATCTGATGAACATGGTGTAACTAAAACATCTAATAATGGTATCTGGTCAACATAGCGTAACTAAAACATCTAATAATGGTATCTGGTCAACATCACGTAACTAAAACATCCAATAACGGAAACTGGTCAACATAGTATAACTAAAACATCTAATAACGGTATCTGGTCAACATCGTGTGAATAAAACATCTAATAACGGTATCTGGTCAACATCGTGTAACTAAAACATCTAGCAATGACATCTGGTCAATATAGTGTAACTAAAACATCTAGCAATGGCATCTGGTCAACATAGTGTAACTAAAACTTCTAATAACGGTATCTGGTCAACATCGTGTAACTAAAACATCTAGCAATGGCATCTGGTCAACATAGTGTAACTAAAACTTCTAATAACGGTATCTGGTCAACATCGTGTAACTAAAACATCTAGCAATGACATCTGGTCAATATAGTGTAACTAAAACACCGAGTAACGGTATCTGGTCAACATAGTGTAACTAAAACACCGAGTAACGCTATCTGGTCAACATAGTGTAACTAAAACACCGAGCAACGCTATCTGGTCGTTACATTCTAGTTGAATATGTCATCAACATGTCGTAAATATTTCACGTTTTTCATTCAGTTCTCTGAAGTCATCCATGTCACAAAGAAGATGGGACCGCGGATTGTTCATGTCGTGATCTTGTTGAAAAAGAAAAAAGTCCTGGACTGAAAATACGAGTTGCACTCTACGACTGTTAGTGACTATTAGCTCACCTTCCCCAGTTCCTCTTCTTTGGATGTTTCAACCCCATGTTTCGGAAGTTTGGAAAGACTGTTTGTGTGACACAAGCGTTTCTTTACTCCTGATATTTGTGACATCGTTTGGCCAGAATCGTGATGGTTGTTGTGTAGTTCTGGCGAGTGACCATCCTCAGGTCTATACATAGGAAAATCTAAGTCTTGTTGTTTCTCTGGAAAATAAAACGAGAGCATAATCAACTGAATGATAAGTTACTTGTTAAGTTATGTTATCAGTAGATCATAATAAGTTACTTGTTACAGACAACAGTAAAATATGTTATCAGTAGATTATAATAAGTTACCTGTTACAGTCAACAATGAAACATGTTATCAGTAGATTATAATAAGTTACCTGTTACAGTCAACAGTAAAATATGTTATCAGTAGATTATAATAAGTTACCTGTTACAGTCAACAATGAGACATGTTATCAGTAGATTATAATAAGTTACCTGTTACAGACAACAGTAAAATATGTTATCAGCAGATCATAATAAGTTACCTGTTACAGACAACAATGAGACATGTTATCAATAGAACAATAAGTTACCTGTTACAGTCAACAAGGAAATATGTTATCAGTAGAACAATAAGTTACCTGTTACAGACAACAATATGATTAATTCTTTCCTGAACTTCTGGGTAACACTTTAATTAAACCATGTAATTATTTGAATTGTTTCCTCAACTGAAGAGCAATAGTTCTAGATAACAGTTTAATTGTTTTGATTTGTTTATTTTAGCAATATAAGGCTATATAGTATTGTTTTGATTTGTATATTTTAACACCGTAACGTTATATAATATTGTTTTAATTTATTTATATAACAATGTAACGCTATATAACATTGTTTTAATTTGCTTGTTCTAACAGAGGAAAGTAATATAATATTGTATTAATTTGTCTGTTTTAACACGCTAATGATATTGTTTAGATCTGTTAAACTATTCACAAATTAACCATTAACTTTCCGTTACGAAGTTAGTCTTTTTCATTTAGTGTTCTGGAAGTTTTTCAAAAAAATCAGCTTTGGCAAGAAAATAAAATATATTTTTCAAGTTTTTAGTGACATAAGTTGGTTTTTCCAGAATAACTGGCGTACTACTCATAATCTGGCTAGAGCAAAAACCTCTCTCGGAGAAACAGTTATTGAGAAATGACTATGAAACTACATAATTACTTGATATTTTTATAAACTTACCGAAGAACGTAGTGCAGATAAATTCCGAGATCTGATGACCTGACTTCGACTCAGAAAAGTGGCTTGACAACTCTTTACTGAGCATACGTTTGAACTAAAAGATATAAGTTATTGATGACAACTCTTGACTGAGCATACGTTTGAACTAAAAGATATAAGTTATTGATGACAACTCTTGACTGAGCATACGTTTGAACTAAAAGATATAAGTTATTGATGACAACTCTTTACTCAGGATACGTTTGAACTAAAAGATATAAGTTATTGATGACAACTCTTTACTCAGGATACGTTTGAACTAAAAGATATAAGTTATTGATGACAACTCTTTACTGAGCATACGTTTGAACTAAAAGATATAAGTTATTGATGTATATGTCTGTTGGAGACGTGTGTTCCAATAAGGTATGTAATATACATTATCCAGTCCCAACATTATCCAGTCCATATTACATACCTTACTGGAACCCACGTCTCCAACACACATGTGGGACTGGATAATGTATATTACATACCTTACTGGAAGCCATGTCTCCAACAGACCGGTGAGACTGGATAGTTTCCAGCTGGTCAAGGCACCAGTCCAGCTCGTCCAGTGTCTCCATTGCCAGCTGCATGTGCTGCGCATCTAACAGAATGTTTTCTGTGAAAACAAAACAAAAAACGAACGTTTTTCACTTTATATAAAATAATAGAAGTTATTAAGTTTCTAATAGAAGTGATTATGTTTTAATAGAAGTGATTATGTTTTTAATAGAAGTGATTATGTTTTTAATAGAACTGATTATGTTTCTAGTAGAAGTGATTAAGTTTCTAATAGAAGTTATTAAGTTTTTAATAGAAGTGATTATGTTTCTAATAGAAGTGATTATGTTTTTAATAGAAGTGATTATGTTTTAATAGAAGTGATTATGTTTCTAATAGAAGTGATTAAGTTTCTAATAGAAGTCTATTAAAAACATAATAACTTCTATTAAAACATAATCAAGTGATTATGTTTTTAATAGAACTGATTATGTTTCTAGTAGAAGTGATTAAGTTTCTAATAGAAGTTATTAAGTTTTTAATAGAAGTGATTATGTTTTCTAATAGAAGTGATTAAGTTTCTAATAGAAGTGATTATGTTTTTAATAGAAGTTATTAGTTTTTAATATAAGTGATTATGTATTTAATAGAAGTGATTATGTTTTTAATAGAAGTGATTATGTTTTTAATAGAAGTGATTATGGTTTCTGATAGAAGTGATTAAAATAAAAAACTTTTTATTTCAGCCAACGTTTCGTCGTTGCGGCTTATCAAAACTATTTTCTTGTACTACTAGCTCTGATGAAGTTGAAAGGGCGAAACGTTGGCTGAAATATAGTTATTTTTTATTATTATCTGGAGATTAACTGTGTTTTTTTTCACTAACTTTATTACCAAGCACTAGAAATTCTAAGAAAAAAAAACAAATACGAAATAAATAGATAACTTAAAGTATTCATCTTTAGCTAATTTGAACCTAATGACTTCGGTATTATCCCACAACTCGTATACGTTACTATTAATTACTATAAAGTGCCAAAAATCACCACTAAGTACAGAAAATAGAAGTGGAATAAGACCAGATGGTCCGTGAAACAACAAAATCTTAAATATGTCTGCAGAATACAATCAACATCAATTGTTATAAGGAACAAAGATCAAGCAGTTTGGTCAGTGTTCTCTATCTGTACAATCACAACAGACTAGTCCTCTCGTGTCTTTTGTTACTTTGTTGTTCTAATGACTGGCAAAAGCATTACCAGACTGTGAGTGTTTGTTGTTCAAACACAACCAAACAAGAAAGGTTAAAGAAAGTGTGAACTTATAGTCAGATCGTTTTACAGATATAGAACCAAACAATAAGGTGTAAACTTACAATCAGACACTTCAAATAAACACAACCGAACAACGAATATTAAAATAAAGTGTAAACTTACAATCAGATAGCTCACATTAACACAACCAAACAACGAATATTAAAATAAAGTGTAAACTTACAATCAGATAGCTCACATTAACACAACCAAACAACGAATATTAAAATAAAGTGTAAACTTACAATCAGATAGCTCACATTAACACAACCGAGTAATGAATATTAAAATAAAGTGTAAACTTACAATCAGATAGCTCACATTAACACAACCGAGTAATGAATATTA